TTGGACGTCCCTGTAAGGAATCAACAGACTGTCTGTCAGAGGCAGCAGGGAAGTTGAGCGGCAGCCTCAGAGCCCCAGACAGCTCTGGTTTAACACTCGGAGTCTCAGTTCCTCACCTGCAAAGGGGGGGCCTCCTCCCTAAACCTCGGAGACCTGGCCGGGATCTGACGAAGAACTCGAGAAGCCTGGCCCACAGAGAACGCTCAATGCTCCATAAAGCACTGAACCAATGTGTGTGTGGCTGTCCTGAGGCCTGCCAATGGCCTGCTGGCCTTGTGAGTCCCCCACTGTCATGAGTAGGGGTTAGTCTGAGCCTTGGGGAAAGGCGGGGCCCTCCAGGCAGGAGAGCCGCACCTGGGGAGCCACAGTGGCCTTACGGGTCCTGCTGACTTCCCGGTTTGCTTTGGCCTATCAAGCATTTTTCTGTTGGGCTCCTAACTCCCAGAGCTGTTAAGCTGGTGGTGAAACAGCAAAGCCAAGCATCCTTTTCTCCCCAGAGAGAAGCTACGAGAAAAGTTTTGAGAACTCTGGTTCTTGGAGGGGGATGAGGCCAGTTTTTGCCTTCTTGCTGCTCTATAAGAGACACCGACTATACTACTATATTCCTCAGAGACAGTAACACCTACTTTCCCAGATCCACGTGAAGGAGAGAGACCTGCTGGAAATTGGAGCGTGTCTGAAGCACTGAGTGCGAGGGGCCTGAGAATGGCATGGAAATGCCCAATGGAAACGGACAGTCAGACGGGCATTCCTGTTCCAGTTCCTTCAAATCCTAGGAGTGTTTTTATTGTATTCTGATCCTTTTTGAGTTCAAGTGTTTCTCATTTGCAGGAAGACAGAGGGCTTATTCAGAAGCTAGCTACAAGAACAAAAAAACTGGCAGGCACGTTAGTGCCAACTTTTAGGTCTTGCTAGTGCAGGTGGCACGTGATTAAGTCGGAGCTGGGACACTTGGCTGCTGTTGCTTAGCGCAGAATAGCTCCATTCACTGAGCCTACGAGGGCCAGAGGCTGGCCATGCATTAGCTCATTCCTTTCTTTTTTGTGCCTTTCTGGCTGGAAGGGGACTGGGGAGGGCTGCCTGGGCTACGGGGTCACTGCCTGGCCTCGTGGGGGAGAGGAGTTGTGGGCAGCAAACCTCCCCTAATTCTGAGTATATATAAGCCCTCGCCAACTATATCGACTTCTACTCTGTTTCTCAGTGGCCTGGCCCCCGTCCCTCCTCTCCAGATGACACCATGACTTGGAGACGGTGCTTTTGGAGAAGGCATTGCTGGTATTAAGAGAAGAAGTAGGTGGCCCAGTGTTTTTCCATTCTGACACAGGTCAAGCTGTGTCCAGCCCGGGACACACCCACTCTGTGTTCCCTCCTCACCCCTCGCATGCCATCATCAGGAGGATTTCACTACTGGGCTTCACAAGTGAGGGACACGGGTGAGAACAATTACCTTTCAGCGCATTCCAGGCATCCCACTTGGCCTTGCCTTTGAGGTCCAACATCCCAGGCCGTTCTTCAACAAGAAAAGGAAAGACATTAGGTCTGCTTCCAGCTCCAAAGGAAAACTTTACCAGCTTTCTTGCCAGGAAAGGCCTCTTTCTCACATCTATCCCTTCTACACTCTCATGAAGGTAAATGGCGCAGAACAGTGTACAGAAATACAAACTTAAAATCCAGAGAAAGTAAAAGGGCAACTGTTCCCTACTAGAGGGTCCTTGTCTTCAAAAGTGAACCCCCAAACATCTCCTTTTAAAAACTGCACTTTAAACAATACTGTGAAGTTCCCTTCCCACCCCATTTCTCTGTCTCATGCATTACTGTTTCGTTTTCTGAGTGTCCTTTTCTGTGGGCTGTATGTTCATACCCTTGCCCCATTTTCCCACCAAATCGTTAGTCTATTTCTTGTTGGTTTGTGGGAGATTTTTCCTGAGAGCAACGTTTCTTTAAGTCAGACCATGATTTTATGCTTACAGACTTATCAGTTGCACTTGGGAAACACACTCACGAGTTCCCTGCTGACCTATTCCCTGCCACGCAGAGAGCCAAGCCCAGGGGAGCAACCACGGCGCCCACAGCCCGGACCCTGTGCCAGAGGAACATCACGCCTTCCTAAGTGCTCTCTGGGAAGCACTCCCAGAGGTACCTGGGAGGAACTGCACCTGCAGGTATCAACCAACTTCTAGAGCTGCGCCCCTGCCCCCCCCCCCCCCCCCCCGACCCCGGGCCCTTCTGTGATGATGGAAATGCTGTGCATCTGCACTATCCAACTTGTCACTTGTGTCACTTGAGCTCCTGGAATAGTGGCTTTTGCGACTGAAGACCGAACTTTTGATTCTATTTAATTTGAACTATCTTCAGTTTAAATTTAGATAGCCATGTGTGGCTAGTGGCTACTGTACTGGACTGTGAAGCCTGAGAGTGTGCTGATACGTCCCTGACCCGGAAGTTACAGATTCCCAAGCCAGCGGACCTGCCCTCACGGGAAAGCAGGGCAGGCCCAGTCTCTGTGAAAACACTGCTTGGCTGAAGAGTATCTTGGCGGCTAGCCGCCCCCACTTCATCTCTCCACCCCCTTCCCAGGAGGACACAGCTTATAAACCCAGCATATAACTCACCTCCACCATGAGACCTTTCTCAACTCAGCCCTCCCTGGGAACCCAAGTTCGATTTGGCATTGCACCAGATCCCTACCTCTGGGCACTTCTGCATCCAGCAGGCTCGCAGCCAGCCCACCTGGCTCCACCTCCAACCCAACTACAGTGGAATTGGGGGCCACACTCACCCTCCTGATCAGAGAGGGGAGGAGGTAACCTCCTTTTGTGGTGCCATGGCCACCACCTCCGAGTCCATACGTGGACTGAATCATGCCACTGCCTAACCCATTTCTCTGCCTCATGCATTACTGTTTAGTTTTCTGAGTGTCTTTTTTTGTGAACTGTATGTTCATACCCTTGCACCATTTCCCCCCCGAATTGTTAGTCTATTTCTTATTGATTTGTGGGAGATTTTTCCTGAGAGCAAAGTATACACCTGAGAATCAGGGACTTTGGGGGCAGAATAAAAACTGGCCGAGGCAGGAAAGGCAGTACTATGGAATACGTGAATTCAAACTATGGCCTCAAAATTTGTACCAAGACTTTTCAACAGGGAATGGTCACCAGGAAATGTTTCAGCAAAAAATGCTCTGACCTGTCCCAGGAAGCCAGCTGCTTCTCTGCTCCTGATTTAGGCTTGGTCCCCTGCCAAGTGCGCGGAGCCTTTGATCTTGCCGGTTAGGGTGGAAGCACTATGCTTCAACAAAGCTACGAGTGAGCTGAGAGCTGAGCAAGTCTCTCCCAAGCTGGGGGCCTTCACCACCTCCCAAGAAGATGGGAAATGCTCTTGGTGATCAGTAAAGTCTAGGGTTTGAATTCTGCTACCTGACCCACCCAGAACCAAGAACAGTGCAGGGTCTACACACCCAATGCAGGAACATGATCTCGGGAACCTCTCCCGGCTTACACCCCAGGAACGTCATAAAAGTTACCATCCCACCCAAAGAGTTCAGAAGGTTTTGAGCGAGGTTCCCACAGATTAAGAGTCCCAGCACCCACCGAGGCTGCCGAGTCTGCTCGGATGAACGGGGACCCGCCCCGCTTCGTCTCAGCATACCTGTATTCACGTCACCCACAGTCGCCTGTTTGTAGCGGCTGTAGATGAACAGCATCTCATCGTCTGCTGGCTTGGTCTTGAGGTTCTTAACATCCTCGGCAGCTTTGTCAAACTCAGCCTAAATGGGAGGGAGAGGAGAGGCCTGAATGGAGCTCGGTAAGGGATGGAGGAGTTGCAGAGGCAGCACTCCTGTAACGCAGGTGAGGGAAAGTGTGTCCCCTCCTCCCCACAACCGCCGGACAGCTAGAAAGATCCAGCAAAACAAGGAGGCGGATCACAGGCTCCCTTATTGACAACTACATTAAGAAAGCTCTCATACACCGGGTGTCAGGTACTGGAAATAGCGTGGGGAGGAGAAGGCTAAGACTGCCTGCAGTGGGAGTGTACTCGCAGGAAAGGCGGCTGGCCACTGCCTGGGCAATACCGGGTCGCCCTGGGGGTGGCTGAGGTCCCAGTGAAGCCCTGACCTGGGGACAGGGGCGGCTAAAACGGCTGAAAAGGGGGCAGGGCATGAGTACAGCAGGGTCAGGGCCTGAGTCAGTTGGCCCCCTTCCCCCGAGTTTGGGGCGTCCAGCGCCAACCTCTGTCCCAGTGCCGGACTGGAGAGAGAGAGAGAGGAGAGGAGCCAAAGGTCGCCCAGCACAGCTCGGTCTCGGAAAAGCGGCTACATTCAAGGGAGGGGAAGGCCTCGGGGGTCGCCTCTCCCCGGCGCACCCTCCCCCGGCCGGACGGACACGGCCCCTACTTCTGACCTCCAAGCTCTCAGCCACGGTCTCCTCGCTTCCCTTCTCCGCCCTTACTCATGTCCTGTCCTTCCGATGGGGGACTCGGCCCCTTCTCCTTCCAGCCATGCAACCCTCTACCCCTCTTCTTTCTACCTCGGACCCTCGCCTCCGATCCCTACCCCTGCGTCACCGCGAAGTCCACTCGATGGGCAACTTGCCAGCAGCTGCAGGGTGGATGGCGGTGTAGGGAGCCCCAAACCGAAAGTTCCGCTCTCAAGGCTCTGTCCAAAGGGTCAGAGCTGGGCACGGGTCCAGGAGGCAGAACGGAGCCGGGAAGAGAAAGACCTTCCAGGGTTCTGCCTGCGGGGTGGTCCCCACGCCGGCTGCCCGCCCCGCTGCCCTTTCGCAGCCTCGCACGTGTCCTACCTGAGACATGCCGGCGGGTAGGTGCAAGGACTCAGAAGCTGGCGGACGGGGCGAGGAGCTGGGAGGAGCAGCGCAAGAACTGTCTGGCAGCGCCTTTAGAGGCGCAGTCGCAGGCCAACGGGGCTCGGGCGAGCGCCCGGCAGCCAATCAGAAGCCAGCTCTGCGCGAGGGCGTGGCCATTCTCTGGGCACCGCCCGCCGCCCGCCTCACCCGAGCTCACGTGGGACTGCTCGCGCACGCGCGGACGGGAGCCGAAGGGAACTCCGGGAGCAGGTGGGACCGCGGAAGTAGGGCGCGCATCAGGGAGCGGGTGCTGTGGTCCGACCGGGGTTCAGCCCAGCCTGCGGGGTGACCCGCAGGGCAGAGGAGAGGGGTGGAGGCTGAGGAGCAGAGCCTGTTAAACATGTTTCACTGGTCCCGTGTCCGGCGGCGCGAGCAGGCCGGAAGTTCTCCTCTGGATGAGGAACCGCTCAGGCGGGGGGAGGGCGAGGGGCTCCTGCGCATCTCAGGAACCCAGAGGAGCGGCCTGGAGGGGCGCGCCCGGGGGTGGGTGAGCCGGTCCCCAGGAAAGCGAGGCCGAGGCCTCGTCCTCTGAGCATTTGGCACGCCTTCCCGTTGCCTTAGTTTGCAGCTCTGTGTCGCACATTTTTGTCTGAGGTGCATTTCGCCATCTAGTCCAGCGGTTCTCAACCTGTGCGTCGCGACCCCTTCGGCGGTCGAACGACCCTTTCACAGGGGTCGCCTAAGACCATCCTGCATATCAGATATTTACATTATGAGTCATAACAGTAGCAACATTACAGTTATGAAGTAGCAACGAAAATAATTTTATGGTTGGGTCACAACATGAGGAACTGTATTTAAAGGGCCAGAAGGTTGAGAACCACTGGTTCTAGTGCATAAAAGGCAGGAACAGTGTCTTACTTACCTTGACTTTAACAAACGTGGCCCAGCCTGGTGTCCAGCACGTATCTCCTACGTGGATGACACTTGCACTCATTGACGAATATTTACTCGGCTCTTGTCAGGTAACTTGCACCTTCCTGGCCCTCGGGATACAGCAGTGAAAAAAAAAACCCACATAATTTCTTGCATCCTGTGGATGAAAGGGGCCACGTGCTGACCTGACAGGCTCAGGGGAGGCCTGCATGGCAGTCTTGCAAACTGAGACCTAAAGTCACCACAAAGGACGGTCTGAAATTAAACTTTAACTAAAAGCAGTGATGGTGGGCAGTTACGTCCTAGGCCAGTATCTTCACTGACAAGGTCAACCTTTACCTTAACTGAGCCTATCTGTCTTTTTGCATCTATGATAACATACCCTTGAAATGTCTGGGTAACTTGTAACTTCCCTTTTTCTGGAGCCCCTGGGCCTCAACCAAATGTGCTGGGCGCCAGGACAGAGACCACAAATTCCTTCATTATCATGTTAATTGTTCCTGCACCCACCTAAGTATGTGCCCATCATTTTACTTTTTATCCAATCCCAGGGGTTTCCTCGCCTTGCTTTATCCCTCCTCCTTAATCTATCACCAATGGATTTCATGTAACCCACCTACATCCCTCCCTTGATTGCAAGTGTATAAATACAGATGTAAACCGCCATTCTCCGGAGCATTATCTCAATTCGTTGAGGTTCTGCTTCCCGGCATATGTCGACAGTTTGGCTCAAATAAACTCACAAAAATTCTTTACAGGTTTCAATGGTTTTTTACGTTAACAATCCTTAGAACCTATATTAGGGATAATAGTTAATAAAGCAAGTTAAATAGAAAGTGTGTTAGAGGATAGGGGGTTGGAAGTTGACAGTTTCACATGGGATGGGCCGGTGGAGGGTTAAGGGAGGTAACCTTTGAGAAGGACCCTCGCGGAGAGGAGGGAGCACTCCAGGCAGGACCTTAGTGTGAAGGTGGGAGCAGGGAGTGAGGGGAGGAGTGGAAGGAGAGGGGGCTGGAGAGCTGAGGAGGTGGCAGGCTGCTTAGATGATGCAGAGCCTGATCTCTATAGGGACTTGACGTTTATTCTGAGTGCGATGGAAGCCAGAGGCTGTCGAGCAGAGGATGGTGAGACTGAGGGGGGCAGGCCCTTGCCAGGTTGTCACAGAGGCTGATGGTCTCCATGGGAACACAAAGGAGCCGCAGGGGTGGATGGCAGAGTTTGAGGGTGATGCCCAGGAGACGAAAGGGAGGGTTTCCCGGGGGTTACAGAGGAGTGGGTGAAGGGAGGGATTTGATGAAAATTCTCTGGAGATTATCAAAAAGAGAGATCATTCCTTTCCTATTCCTAATATGTGACAAGAGGACTGGACTACACATCTTCCCCCATTTACAATGGTAGGTGTTTAGAAGGAAAGCCAGGGGGAAGCTTTCAGAAGTAACAATGTAGGCGAGGCTTTATGAAATGGGAAGTAGAGGTACAATAGTAAGGAACAAATCCAGAGCCTGTAGACTATGCATAATCTTGTTTGAGAAAACAAAGTCAAGCAAATTAACAAAAGCCTTGGAGTTAAACGTGAAGAAATTACATCTGAATTGTAAGAAATGTGGGTTTCTCCCAAAATGATCCTTCAGCACTGCTTTTCCCCCTGAGGCCCAGATGAAACCTGGAAGCATTTTGGCTCCATCATTTGGTGCTTACGGCATCCTTGATGGGAATTCAGGTTATTGTCCGTGAATAGTAGTTTAATATTAGATTTCTCCTTCTAAACGAAATCTCACTTCCTAAAAGTAACCCATCATTAAAAAATGGACTACAGTTACAGCAAAGCTTTACTAGAAGGCACGGGGTAGGGTATTAACAAGTGTTGAATTCTATTCATTTGGTATTTATTTTCCATTTTCTTGGCATGTGACTCTGATGCTTGGCTCCAGGAAAGCTGGGAGGGGACTCCTGTGTTTTAAAGGGAGGGAGGCACCTGGGAAATGCTTCTGGGAAAGGAGCTGGGAGAGGTGGGCAGATTTGGAGGTCTTTGATGAGAGTGGATACACTTGCCTTGTCCTGATCTTAGGGAGAAGGCATTCAGTCTTCCACCATTAAGTATAATATTGGCTGGAGGGTTTTTGTACATGTTCTTTATCCAGTAGAGGAAGTTTCCCTCTGTTGCTATTTCTAAGAGTTCTTATCATGAATGGATGTTGAAATTTACCGGATTTTTTTTTTTGCATTGATTGATTACATGATTTTTCTTCTTTAGCCTATTAAAATGGTAGATTACATGGATTTCTTTTCAAATATTGAACTCGCTGTACTTCCCTGGAAGAAACCCCACTTGGTCATTGTGTATAATTCTTTGTATATATTGCAGAATTATATTTGCTTATATTTTAAGGGTGCTTATGGTTGTATTCATAAGGATTATTTGTCTGTAGTTATCTATATAATAAAAGCCTAAGCAGCCATTACAGCTGAACGACCAGAATGACCAGTCACTGTGATGCACACTGACTACCAGGGGGCAGATGCTCAATATAGGAGCTGCCACCTGGTGGTCAGTGCACTCCCACAGGGGGAGCGCCACTCAGCCAGAAGCTGGGCTCATGGCTGGCAAGTACAGCGGTGGTGGTGGGAGCCTCTCCCACCTCCAGAGCAGCTCTAAGGAGTGGTGAGCCTAGTGGTAAGGAGCAGAGAGCCAGTGGGCGGTAAGGAGCGAAGGGTCCCGGACTGAGAGAGAGAGGGCATAGACCAGGCTGAGAGATTCCACCACCCCACCCCCCCCCACCCCCCCGCATGAATTTCATGCACTGGGCCTCTAGTTTTTAAATAATGTCTTTGGTTTGTTATGGAACTACTGGCTTCCAAAAATTTAATAGGATATGTTTTCTCCTTTTCTATTTTCTGAAATAAGTTTCTTAGAACTGATGTTAATTCTTTAAATGTTTTGTAGAATTATCCAATGAAACCTTCTGGGCCTGGAGGTTCTTCTTCTGGGTGTTTTAAAATTATAGGCCATTAAAATTTTCTATCTCATATGGATAATGGTGGTAGTTTGTGTTTTTCAAGAAATTGGTCCATTTTATCAAAGTTGTAAAGTTTGCATACCTGGATTTGTTCAAAGTATTCCCTGTTATCCTCGTGATGTGTGCAGAGTCTGATTTTAGTCGTTTGTGTGTTCTCTCTGTTTTATTCTTTGCCAAGCTTGTGCAAGATTGTCAATTTTTAAAAATCTCTCCAAAGAACCAGCTCTTTTTTTAAAAACTGATTCTTCTATTGTCTTTCTGTTTTGTTTATTTTTAATTTTATTGATTTTTGGGTTTTTTTTTTATTATTTTTCCCTTTTGCTTGCTTTGGGTTTGTTTTGCTCTTCTTTTTCTAGGTTCTTAAAGTGGGAGGTTAGATTATTGATTTGAGACTTTAAATTTTAATGTATACATTTAGTGCTATATATATTCCCTCTTAGTTCTCCTTTGTGTCCCCCAAATTTTATGTTGTGTTTTCATTTTCATTCAGTTCAGTGTATTTTAAATTTCCTTTGAGACTTCCTCTTTAACCCGGGGATCGTATAACAGTCTCTTGCCTAGTTTCCAAGTGTTTAGAGATTTACCTCATGTCTTTCTGGTTTTTGATTTCTATTTTAATTCCACTGAGGTCAGAGAATACACTCTGTATGATTTCACTTCTTTAAATTTGTTATGTGTTTTTCTGTGGCCTAGGATATGTTCTTATTGGCATGTATTTTGTGGGCACTTTAAAAGAATGTGCATTCTGCTGTCATTAGTGGAGTGTTCTGTAGATGTCCATTACGTTCTGTTGATTGGTGGCTGAGTTCTGTATCCCTGCTGCTTTTCTCTCTGATTATTCTGCCATTTGCTGAGAAAGGGTGTTGAAATCTCTAACCACACCTGTGGATTTGTCTGTTTCCTCTTTCAGTTCCATCAGGTTTTTCTTCACATATTTAACAGCTTTGTTTTTATACACATTAGGATTGCTGTATCTTGTTGGTGGATTGACCCTGTTGGTTCATGGTTTCTTCTTTTATTTTCCTTCTGTTTAGACATCCTTTATGCATTCTTTTAGGGTAGATGTGCTGCTAACAAATTCTCTTAGTGTTTTTTTCATCAGAGAATGCCTTGATTTTCTCTTCATTTCTGAGGAATATTTTCACTGGGTATAGTAGATGTGTTGATGGTTCTTTTTTTTTTTTTTAATGTTTTTTATTGATTTTAGAGAAGAAGAGGGGGAGAGAGAGAGAGAGAGAGAGAGAGAGCTAGAAACATCGATGAAGGAGAAACATCAACCGGTTGCCTCCTACTGGGGATGGAGCCCGAAACCTGAGC